TTCACTAAACAACGCCGCTACTCATTTAACGCACACGACCCGGAGGAGGACGGGGCGAGGCCGAGGAGAGGAGCGGCGGAGGGACATGAAGTCGAAGAAAGAAAAAGACAGGAATTACTGTACCCTGCTGAGGGCTGGAGAAAAGAGGTGGCGGAGAGAAAGGAGACAGGCCAGGGTGTGAACTCCTCCATTGAGAAGGGGAACAGCTGCTGCCTCAAACCCCGATTCATACCCTACCTCTCCTCCTCGTAATCCCCAAATTCCTTCCTCCCCGTCCTTCTCTCCTTCCCAGTCCACACTAAAAAGCGCTCCCAGCTAACCCAATCTACATTGCTATTCACCACTGACCAGCAGGCAGGGAGGAATGCCATGCCATTCAAGTGCTGAAAGAGAAAACACACACCACACACACACACACACACACAAGCATTGCAGATGGGAAATAGCGAGATGCCACTCATGGCAACTGAATAGAGCAGGACTACGCCTCTTTTTGGCGCTACAGTGCCGGCTGCAATGCATCGTGGTCAGGCCTGCCGGAGGTATGGAATGGCGTCTTACATCTGTAAGCTTGCCTCATAGTAATCCAAGGATGCATTACAGCGCACAACCAAGAACAGGAGGCCTGTAGCTCCGGCGGCTTCACTGCAGCTTTCCGGATGCCGCCTTGCTTGCTCCAGATTTGTGAAGTTGACGAAGCTGCCGTAGGAGATCTGATGAAAGTGCCGCTCTCATCGTTCACGGTGGCCATCAGAGCTCACGCCACTTGCAACATTAACACCCGCAAAGACACCACACTCAGAAAACATCTTCATCAAGTTCGACAGCACATGCGCTGCAAAGAAATCCACAGCACTGTCTTCTGAAAATCCAAATTCAATTTTTAGGTGAACACTTCTAAATTTGATAAAAGCAAAGTGAAACACTTTGAATTGGAACTAAGAGATAAATAAACATTAGCTTACAACTGAAATTCTTACAGAGTAGTGGGTGGTTTCAGCCCCGGCTCCTCCGGCGCGAGGTGAGCGGTTTGTGTTTCATTCGACAATGTGTTGAGTCACGGTGAGCAGTACCTGAAAGCTCGAAAGTGAGGATCTTCCGACAAAGGGAGAAACCGGTGAAAGGAAACTTCCTGGTTCCATGGGAGAAGCGTGGGGGGTTGCGTTGTGGGGGGGGGGGGGGCTTTGGTTGTTGCTGGGACCAAACAGGAAGCAGCGAGATACCGAGGCTGACGCAGCCTTACCTTCCTAAGAGCCAATCAAAGCAGGAAACAACAGGGAGCTGGACAAGAGTAAGAAACAGCGTTGAGTCTACCAGAGTTCTGAGACAGAATAATAACTGCAAGGAAGCCAAACGTGGTTGACCCACATGACGCAGCCCACTAAAGGGCGAGGGGTGAGGGTAGGGGGGGAGTCCGCGTTGATACTCCCCCCCCACACCCCCCACCTTCTCCATGGAACCAGGAAGTTTCCTTTCGCCGGTCTCCGCTTTGTCGAAGAATCCTCACTTTCGAGCTTCAGTTACTGTCACCGTGACTCACACATTTCGAGAAACACAAACTCGCTCACCTTCGCGCCGGAGGAGCCGGGGGCTGAAAACTGAAAGCTGCAGTGAAGCCGCCGGGCTACAGGCCTCCTGTTGGGTGGTGTGCGCTGGAATGCATCTTGATTATAGAGGCAAGCTTACAGTGTAAGGCCATCATCTCCGCAGGCCTGACCACGATGCATTGCAGCCGGCACTGTAGCGCCAAAAAGAGGCTAGTCCTGCTCTATTCAGTTGCCATGTGGCATCTCGGCTATTCCCATCTGCAATGCTTGTGTGTGTGTGTGTGTGTGTGTGTGTGTTTTCTCTTTCAGCACTTGAATGGCATGGCATTCTCCCTGCCTGCTGGTCAGTGGTGAATAGCAATGTTAATGGGTTAGCTGGGAGCCTTTTTAGTGTGGACTGGGAGGAGAGAAAGGAGGGGAGGAAGGAATTTGGGGATTACGAGGAGGAGAGGTAGGGGTATGAATCGGGGTTTGAGGCAGCAGCTGTTCCCCCTTCTCAATGGAGGAGTTCACCCTGGCCTGTCTCCTTTCTCTCCCCACCTCTTTTCTCCAGCCCTCAGCAGGGTACAGTATTCCTGTCTTTTCTTTCTTCGACCTTCTGTCCCTCCNAGTGTCTGCTTGAAGTTTCTCAGATGTTTTAACTTAGAAGAGGCTGGGAGACTTTTGTTTATGAGAGGGAAAGCATTCAACGCGGGACCCCCCCCCCTCACCCCTCACCCCCTCCCCTTTAGTGGCTGCGTTCATGTTGGGTCAACACGTTTTGGCTTCCTCTGCAGTTATTATTCTGTCTCAGGACTCTGGTAGACTCAGCGCTGGTTCTTCTCTTGGTCACGCTCCCCTGTGTTTCCCTGCTTTGATTGGCTGCTTTAGGAAGGAAGGCTGCGTCAGCCTCGCACTTCCTGCTTCCTTTGTGTCCAGCAACAATCCAAAGCCCCCCCCCCCCCCACACCCCCCACCTTCTCCATGGAACCAGGAAGTTTCCTTTCGCCGGTCTCCGCTTTGTCGAAGAATCCTCACTTTCGAGCTTCAGTTACTGTCACCGTGACTCACACATTTCGAGAAACAAACTCGCTCACCTTCGCGCCGGAGGAGCCGGGGCGCTGAAAACTGAAAGCTGCAGTGAAGCCGCCGGGCTACAGGCCTCCTGTTGGGTGGTGTGCGCTGGAATGCATCTTGATTATAGAGGCAAGCTTACAGTGTAAGGCCATCATCTCCGCAGGCCTGACCACGATGCATTGCAGCCGGCACTGTAGCGCCAAAAAGAGGCTAGTCCTGCTCTATTCAGTTGCCATGTGGCATCTCGGCTATTCCCATCTGCAATGCTTGTGTGTGTGTGTGTGTGTGTGTGTGTGTTTTCTCTTTCAGCACTTGAATGGCATGGCATTCTCCCTGCCTGCTGGTCAGTGGTGAATAGCAATGTTAATGGGTTAGCTGGGAGCCTTTTTAGTGTGGACTGGGAGGAGAGAAAGGAGGGGAGGAAGGAATTTGGGGATTACGAGGAGGAGAGGTAGGGGTATGAATCGGGGTTTGAGGCAGCAGCTGTTCCCCCTTCTCAATGGAGGAGTTCACCCTGGCCTGTCTCCTTTCTCTCCCCACCTCTTTTCTCCAGCCCTCAGCAGGGTACAGTATTCCTGTCTTTTCTTTCTTCGACCTTCTGTCCCTCCGCCCCTCCTCTCCTCGGCCTCGCCCCGTCCTCCTCCGGGTCGTGTGCGTTAATGAGTAGCGGCGGTTGTTTAGTGAAACAGCTGGCGACAGAGAGGAGATGTTGTCTTGAGGGAAAAGCCCATTAGACAAACGTACAGATCCTTCTCGTGCCGAGTATGTTTCTTTCCGCCATTGTCGCCGCGCTCTTCAGTCGATACGCACCTCTTCACAGCTGCTCCGCCGAAACCCCCGAAAGAAACCAAACCACAGTGAGGAGGAAAAAAAAAAAAGAAAAGAAAAGAAAAGCGAACTTCATGGTCAATCGAGTAAATCTCCCTTGATATGACTGAAATGGAGCGGGAGCCCTGTGCTCTCTGTCTTGTGTGTGGTCACTTGTGGCTTCAAACATGATACTTGATTCGAGTGAGCGAGACAGCATCTCTGAGCGGAGCTGATATCATCTCTGTGCTTGGCCTCGGCCTCTCGGCTCTTCCCTTCGCAAACTCTGATGTTTGCCTTCGACTTAATGTCTCGTTGCCCCCCCCCCCCTTCAATCTTCATGCTTTCATTTTAACTGGCGATCGTGTCGTCTTGTCTGCCTCATCCGATCGCTCTCTTCTTCACTTTACATTCTTTCTTCTCTTTATCTTCTGTCGTCCTTTGACCGACATGTCTCATTTTCATTGTCAACATCCTATGAACTTCTGTCAGGAGCTATTTAAACGCCCCGAGCAAATGACTCAGAGGGAAACGTGTGTGTGTGTGTGTGTGTGTGTGTGTGTGTGTGTGTGTGTGTGTGTGTGTGTGTGAGAGAGGGACGTGAACAGGTGACAGGCAGCGTACATAATCCCCCTCCTCTGATGTCAGATTTACCCGTGTGTCCGCGGGTGTGCTCTGCATACATGTATGTGTATTTTGTGCATACATGTGGGTGTGGGTGCATGTGTGCAGTGCATACATGAGAGTGTGTGTGTGTGTGTGAATGTGTGATGGTGTGAGGACATGAGCAGCAGCAGCCGTTGGAATGCCCTCGCAGAGTTAAATGTGAGGGGGGGGCTCGTCTCGTTTTCACTTTCCTTTACGGCGCTCTCTCAGAAATTTCACACCGTGTTAAGTTCATATTTCACCACCGCTACACACAGCTGGATCCTCTACCTGCACCTCGGTGCTCCGAGTCGGGCGTGTGAAATTAGGTGTCATCTTATCTCTGCGATACAGTTTCAGAAGGCTGCAAAATAAAAAACAATATAAAGGACTTTTGAGCGCAAACGGACGCTGCTTCATTTCTAAATCTTGGTGCTCGACTTTTGTTGCCTTTTTATTTCTCTTGTCTCGCAGCTTTGAAGACTGACTTACCGCTGGGGAATGTGGGAAGACGGGTTGTGTTTGTTGAGAGAGAGACGGTGAGGCAGCAGCAGCAGAGGGGGGTTGTTGGTTGAAAAAGTAAAGAGTAGGAGTGCCGGCGAGGCAGGGAGTCTGCGTTCTTGTTTCAGGGCTCGGCTCATGTGAGAAAAACTGTTGTTTCAATGAGTCAACACTGTGCAGAACCTGCCCTCTGTTTTCCCTCCCATATCTCTGTCACTTGTCCAGATCTGACCTTTAGCCTTGACATAATAACATGTCCACTCCACCTCGCGGTCCTGTGTGCAAAGGTGAAAAGTTCACAGCGTCACTGATCTTTTAAAGAGGCCTGAGTGATGTGGAGGAACTGGCTCCGTGTGCTGTGTGTCATGTAGCAAGTTGCCTGAAGTCACTGTTGTCCTTGTTCACCTGCTCATGCAAATGTCTGTGTCTTTTCTGTGTTTGCAGAATGTCAGCCCGGCTTCTTCAAAGCTGCAGCATCCGGGGAGAAGTGTGAGCCGTGCCCTGCCAACACCAAGAGGCAGGACTCTGGGGCTTTGGTTTGTCCCTGCATGGACGGCTTCTACCGGGCCCCGACCGACCCCCCCACCGGACCCTGTTCAGGTAACGAGTCTCCTTCATTTGAGACCTTTTGCATGAAGAAACAGTAGCTGCCAATGAGCTACCAAGTCATGTCACACCTGAGTTTCCTCGTGTGCAGGAATTAAATATGATTTTCTTGTTGCACCAGTTTTTCCTGCACATATTAGTAAATGGATTAAAACATTAATGTTTTTTGGACATTGTAAATTAGAGAAAAGAGCATCACTGATTTACTGATTCTACAACTGCATGATGACTTTCCTGTCTCTTTATTATTAAACTTTAAGATCAACAATCTCTTCAGTGATGCATCTGTAAAATGAGGGAAAGGTTCATTTTGAAGAAGAAATCTGTAAATATATTTAATGTGTGTGTGTGTGTGTGTGGTGAAACATTTAGATTTTATTATATTATTTATTATATTAATTATACTGAATGGATTTAAATCCATTATTATGAAGAAGCAGTTTTGGGTGAGGGCTTTAGCTCATTTTTTGAAGCGACATCCTGCCGTCATGTGACATTTTGCTTCCTGTTTCTAACGTCCTGATCTGTGTTCCTCAGGCCTCCCCTCTGCCCCGCGAGACCTCATGGCCACCACCACCCAGCTCTCCGCGGGAAAACTCCTCCTCTCGTGGAACCCGCCTGAAGACACCGGAGGTCGCTCCGACATCACCTACAGCGTGATGTGCCAGCGCTGCGAGGGCGGCGCCTGTCAGCCCTGCGGGGAGAAGATCCGCTACGACCCATCCAGCGTTGGCCTGACTGAGACCAAGGTGTCGGTGAGCGAGCTGGACGCTCACCTCAACTACACCTTCACCGTGGAGGCTCACAGCGGCGTGTCGGTGTTTGCCAGTCAGGCGACACCGCGGGCTCACGGACCGACATCCACCAGCACCCTGACTACATCTCTGCACTACACAGGTGAGTGCAGCTGATACGAGGCGGCGGAGCGATGCTATCTGTGCTGCAGTGATGAGAGATGATATCTGTGAGGAGGCCGAGCGCAGCAAGTCAAATCCTGCTGCAGGAGGGAGATGAACTGTCAGATTTCATCATCACTGTCGTATTTTTCAGATTCTTTTTAAAGGATTTCACATCGCAAAGATGCTGAAGTATTCACTCCGCTCTGTCCCCAGATCCCCCCAAGATTACCGCCATGCGACTGGTGGAGAGGACCTCCACCAGCTTGTCTCTTTCCTGGGACGTATCTCCCCGACCACCCGCCCAACACCGGCCCGTCCGCTACGAGCTGATCTACCGCAAGAAGGTGCGTCACTCGTGTTTACTTCATTTTATCTTACAAGTTTAAATCTGCTGCCAAAGGTATTTAATTAAAAGACTTCTCTCCGTGTCGCAGGACGATAACCTGGATGTGACGACCTTCATCGTGCTCAAACTGGAGAAGAACTCGGTGCAGATCAGCGATCTGGCCCCGGGCACAGCCTACCTGTTCAGGGTCCAGGCCCTGGGCAGCGACGGGAGCCCCGGAGGCTCCAGCGTGGAGGAACAGTACGAGACCTCTTCTTCTGAAGGTACAGAGGGAAAACCAACTGTAGAAGAAGAAAAAAAAAAAAAGTTTCTCGAGCTTCCTGTAGGAGTGAGACCTCTCTGACGCGTTGCCTCCGCTGTTTCTTTACTCTCCAGGACGCCTCACTCAAAGCAACACAGCAGCCGTGCTCGGTGCAGCGGTCGGAGGAGCGGCCATGTTGTTCATAGTGATCGTGGTCCTGTTCCTACGCAGACGGTCAGTAGCCGCCCCCCCCACCCACACACACACACACACACACACACACCCGTCGTTCTGTCCTGTTAATCAGTTAGAATACACCCTCCTTCACCGGCTTCCTCTCTCATTCTTCGGCCCTTCCTTTGTGGGGCCTCCACATGGCCTTTGCATTCACTCTCTCCTCACCTCTCTCTTTCTCTCTTCCTTTAGCCACCTTTCTCTTTCTCTTTATCTGGATCTGTGTCCCAGCACTCGCAGGGGAAGAATTTGCGTTGAATGCACCTTGTCATTGCTCAATGGTTATATTCTGGTGAGTGTTGGGGCCTTTGAAAGGAAATTGGTCCAGAGTGGCACATTGTTGGTGATAAGAGGCGCTTAGTTCCTTCTGTACCCGACTGCAGGCACTTTGTAAAGGTGACCTGGGAGTGTACCGCGGTAGGCTGCGGCTCGTCTGTCCACCTCCCTCCCTCCCTCCCTCCCGCCTGCTTGTCTGTCTTTCAGTCTTTAAATCAGCTTGGCAAACACCGTCTATCGTCAGGCGTTATCAAAGGGCCGCTACTCTCTGAATGGACGCATTGCACCGGTGTCGGGCTCCTTTTGAAAGCCTTAGAACGGCTGGAAAAACGGTTACAAAGGTTGCTGTGTGCTATTGATATTAAAGCAGGCCGATGATATAGAGGAACAAAAAGTTGCCATTTGTTGTTTGAAAGTGGAATAAAATTTATTTATTTTTATTCAGGAAGAGAAACTCTCACACCAGGCAAGGACCAGAGGACACCTACTTCTCCAGCCCAGGTAGGAAACATCCCTCATCTCTCCGTCTTGCCTCACTCACTTTACTTATATACACACAACTAGAGATGAAACCCAGACTTTAATTTTAATTATCATGCTCAATCACTGCGGTTAATCTAACTGACATTAGGTACTGTATGGCATCAAGGCTACAACAGTCTCCCAGACGCATGTGTGGCAAGCAGCGTGCATTTATTTTGTTGTCAGTCAAAACATGGCGAGATTTTTCATCCTCCTAAAACCCTTTTTTTTTTTTTTTTTTTTTTTTTAAACTTATTTGGAGGCTGCAGCTTCACTCTTTCATCCCTGAACACAGTGTAGCCGCGGTGTCTCTGGTTTAGCAGCACCATGCTGGACAGGTGACAGGTGTGTTTACAGTGTCTGTGCTCTGACGGACGTTATAGCACGGAAAATAATGATAATAATAATAAAAATAATACATTTGCTATTCCCTTGTTAACAGAGTGTGAAAACCCAGCACTGCTTCTGGTCCCTTGTCCTCTCATCTCTGACACAGATGTGTTGGACATGTCTTTATTTTAATGTTTAAAAGAACCTCTATTGCTACATAGCTAACGTTAGCATTAACAGCTGTTTACTTACTGGTCTACAGGAAACGTTGTGAGTTCAGCATCAAACTTAACCCCTTTTACTCGCCGAGCGCTGTCTTCAGCAGTGGAAGGCAACGCCAACGTTAAGTCTTGTCATTTATTTTCTTCCACTGAAGTTAGCATGCTAACCAGCTAGCCCCAGACCAGCCTGAAGGAAGCAGCGCAGCTCAGTGGGTGAATTATAAGCTCTTGTAAATTGTAAATGCAGCGATGGCTAAAGCTCCACGACCGCCACGCGCTCCCGACAATAAACCACAAACTTATATAGAGCAAACAGAAAGTGCTGCTAATTGTTTATTTGTGGTTTCCGTGATAAAACTTCATAACTGATCATTTTAGGTCACGATAATTGTAATATTAAGTTTTATTAGAAACAATCTTCTTCCTTTTTCCTCACAGAGCAACTGAAGCCTCTGAAGACCTACGTGGACCCACACACATACGAGGACCCCAACGTAGCCGTCCTGAAGTTCGCCACTGAAATCCACCCCAGCCACATAACCAAACAGAAAGTCATTGGAGCTGGTGAGTGATGAGCCCCGCCGAGACGCTCTGCTGTGGGGCTTAACGCCACGATGTTGAAAGATTTTTCCAATCCCCGGGCTCTCAGTTTATATTGAGCCTTTTCCACGGCCTAAGAAGCTGACTGACAGCGGTTACTTTAGCGAGATTAGCATCTATCTGGAGTTCTCACACAACAAGTTGAGGCATTTTCTGTTGTGTGGCAACTCTTGGCCGCGGTGATCTGTGTGTTTTGGCTCAAGTTGACATGAACAATTACACAAAACAAAGTGTTGCAGAATCAGTGTTTTGGATGGATATCAGAACAGCTTCCTGGGCCCTGCCCAGATCTTTCATACATGATACGTTTTACAGAGCGCGACCACCTTTACCCTTTGAACCGACAGGCTTTTTTCAGCTTTCACCCCCTCCCTAAATTCCCACGGCGTGCCCCCCCCTTCTCTCTCTCACTCCTTTCTCCTCATGTGACAGCTGATTCCCATGCTCTCACACCACAGGCCATCCACTAATTATACAACATAGGCTCTGTCTCTCAACACCCAGCCTCAACACACCTGTGAGACAGCCTGGGGCAAAACCTCCCTGTTTTCACTCTGTTGCACAGCAAACGCCTGCAGCTGGAAACCTGAGGAGACGAATCAGACTCACCCGATATCCCTTTTCTTAAATGATTTTCTTCTTTTTTTTTTCCCCTGCAGGGGAGTTTGGCGAGGTGTACCGGGGGATTCTGAGGGTGCCGGGGAGGAAGGAGGTGGCGGTGGCGATCAAGACGCTGAAGCCCGGCTACACGGAGAAACAGAGGCAGGACTTTCTGAGCGAAGCCTCCATCATGGGTCAGTTCTCTCACCAGAACATCATTCGCCTGGAGGGGGTGGTCACCAAATGTAAGGATTTCTGTGAGTTTTGCTGCTTTTTAAAACTTTTTTTCATCATTTTTTCACTTTTAATCTGGTGACTCTGGGCAGGTAGTGAGTTGTTGTAATGTTTGTGTGCAGTCAAACACGCCATGATCGTGACTGAATACATGGAGAACGGAGCACTGGACAGGTACCTGAGGGTAAGTCCATGATCGGTTTCTTTGTAAGTTTCTTCCTGTTTTAGTCACAAAACTAAAAACAAATTTTTTTCCCCGTCAGGACCACGACGGTGAGTTTTCCTCCTTCCAGCTGGTGGGCATGCTGCGCGGCATCGCTGCCGGCATGAAGTACCTCTCTGACATGAGCTACGTCCACCGCGACCTGGCTGCCCGCAACATCCTCGTCAACAACACCCTGGAGTGTAAAGTGTCCGACTTCGGCCTGTCCCGGGTGCTGGAGGACGATCCCGAGGGGACGTACACCACGAGTGTAAGTAGATATCAAACTCCCGGTGCGGCGCGGTGGAGTTTTAACGGCTTGAGGTTCCTTTTGTTTGTGTCTCTGTCTCTAACTTGAAGCGTTTCTCTTGAACAGGGAGGTAAGATCCCCATTCGCTGGACGGCTCCAGAGGCAATAGCGTACAGGAAGTTCACCTCAGCCAGCGACGTGTGGAGCTTTGGCATCGTCATGTGGGAGGTCATGGCATTTGGCGAAAGGCCTTACTGGGACATGAGTAACCACGAGGTGAGCTTCGGTGTCCTCTGATGTTTTTCATGAACCCGTCGCTGAGAAAAGATCTAATCAGTTACCTGATGAACTCCCTGCAGGTGATGAAGGCCATCAACGAGGCGTTCAGGCTGCCGGCGCCCATGGACTGCCCCTCGGCCGTTTACCAGCTGATGCTGCAGTGCTGGCTTCAGGATCGCTCCAAGAGGCCACGCTTCGGAGACATCGTCAGTCTGCTGGACAAACTGCTGCGGAGCCCAGAGTCCCTGAAGACCATCGCAGACTTTGACCCACGGTAAGTTTATTTACGTACCAGACTAAATGGCTTGGTTTGCGTATTTTTGACCTTCAGTAGTTGCCACTATGAGCCGCCAGTCTTTGGAAACGGCCCTGAAACCACAACGTTCACAATACGATTAATATAAATTCAGGTTTTAGTCTCATTTCTCCTTTTGTTTTATGCTTACGCAGCATGAAAATTATTAATAAGCACCTGAAGTCACGAGGAAGGGAACTGCCCTCCGCTTTAGAAAGAGCTCAATGAGCTAAAACAGAATCAACAGTAAGTTAAAGGTTCTACTTCCAGAGCTGTAGAGTTTAACTCAAGACCTCAGACGTCACTGTTGTGAAGCGTGAATCAAGACGTGAAAGGACAAACATTCACTCACTCTTTTGGAGCAATAAAAACTAAATAAGACAGAGTCAGCAGGTCACCACACACCTGTGACTGTATGTAAAAACACTATTAGCAGGAAAATGTTCAAATGCTAAAATGTCGTTTTAAAGGTCAGACCAGTTTAATTTGAAAGATTTGTGCCTTTAGACTTGATATTTTCTTTGTGCTTGTTTTTTGTTTTTGTTTTGAACGGTTTCACAAAGACAGACTTTGACTGTGGCTTAGATAAAACTTTTTATATAAGACTTTTTGAGACATTTTAGCTGTTGACTATCAGTGCAATGAATTCTGGGTAAATTAAGATTTTTTTTTTTCAATCGGCAACCGACCGCTCAGCTCTGTTTACCTCCAGCAGGAAATGTGAATTCTAAAAACCGTCTCTTAAAAACTCTTTCCCTTTTCTTTTCTCTCTCTATAACAATGTCGCCAAACCACAAATTATGATCCATGTTTTCCTGTTTTGTTCTTTTTTTTTTTTGGTCTCGTTGTTGCTGGGAGCTTCTGGTCAGCGCAGGTGCCCATCAATTGTTACCATGGTAACATTGGCCTTAGTCTTTATTTTTGTGAAACGGTCTGAGTAACTGACTGCTGGAGACTTAACTTGGACTGGTCCTGATTTATTTGAGACTGAACTTACTTGAAGTTTGACCTGGACTTGTCTTGAGGAACCAGAGACCTGGACTTGCTGGAACAGACTTAAAAGCCGCTCTGGCAGCAGCTCCCCAGGACAGAAGTGCAGGGTGTATCTGGGGTATTTCTGGGGAAAGCTTTAAGAAGGTCTACTTAAACCGTTAAAAGCACATAATGACACCTTGCTTGCCAGGCTAATGAAAGAAATGTGTGTGTGCAGTCCTGAGGAACACTAAAGCTCCTTTGTATGGGACCGTATACATGAACGCATATTTTTCCTTTTGTGAGGAGCATTAAAAAGCCAGAACCGGTGAGAACGGACAAAAGGCTGCCGTGCTCGTGTCTTAATCGGTTCTTTGCCCCTGAACTGCTCCAACTGGTTTTTATCACCATCTTGTTTCCTGCGTCTGTAATTACAGTCCTCAGTCATCCGCCTTTGTTGTGGGAAAGCCTGTTGACGATTATCATTCGGGGTCTACTTTTTTTTCTTTCCTCCGCAGCGTATCCATCCGCCTGCCCAGCACCAGCGGCTCGGACGGTTCTCCCTTCAGGTCGGTGTCCGAGTGGCTGGAGTCCATCAAGATGAGCCAGTACAGCGAGAACTTCACGTGCGCCGGGATCGTCACCATGGACCAGGTCCTGCAGATGAAGAACGAGTGAGTGGCCTCATTCACAACACTTTGGATCTCTTTACTTTTTGTTTTTGGCAAAGAGGAGGAACATTTGTTTTTCAAATTGTGCATGAATTAAAACCAACATAAAGTAAACGTCTTTTATGAACTTCCCTCTGGTAGCTTATATATTTGTTTTCCCCCCAAAAAAAACGTTGCTTTTTCAGCAGCCAGCAGAAAAAGTTTGTGCACAATATAATCTCTAACCTCAGCTACAACTTGAGAAATGTTTGAGATGGAAAAAGTAACGGAGGGAGGGGGGAAGGAGTGGGCTCATTTGTGGCAGGCTGGTCGTGGTGGCTTGTGGTCGCTGCAGTCCTTATTCTTCTTTCCTCTCTCCATTCTTTCTCTCATCCCTCCCTTCACCCCCACACACACACACACACACACACACACGCGCACACACACACACACACACACACACACACAAAAACACACACAAAAACACACACAAAAACACACACACACACATACACACTCCCGAAAAACCACCAGTTTTGCCTGTTTAGGGCAGAGGCCTCTCGTGGCTTCGTCTACATTAAAGGAGGGAGAGGAGAGAATAGCCTGTACAGTTTGAGCAACGAGAAGATTAAGGAGCTGAAATAGATGGATGAGATTTGAAGCCTGGTTGTCGGCACGTTTGTACTTCTAGAAAGATTGAAGAGGTGCGCTCAGAGTGCCCCACCCGCACCCCCACCTGAACTTATCACAGGAAGGTTTAAGATTACATCAACACTTCTACGTTTTCATTGTAAACCGGCGCTTTCAAACGAAAATAATGTCTGTCCAGACCAAAACACTTGAAAAACACACACATACCTGAGCAATCCACACCACTGAGCGTGTGCGAGCCGGTGTAAAACAGGAAGCAGATTGTCTTCTCTGCAGTTGATTAGTTGCCGCTAGTGAAGACAAGAAGGTCGGTAACACATTTAATTCATTATCATGGCGTATTCACGGCCGGCAGACGAGGCTGATGAGAGCCAATCAGGAGAGACCGTGGGTGTCTGCGTCCTCATCTCAGACGCACAACAACAACAAACCCCAGAGTTTTCAAACTGAAGCGGGTCCAGCAGCGTCTCTGAAAGTCGTGAGGAGGAAACGTAGGAAAAGTTTTAAAATGAAAACGTAGTAGTGTCGTCTCAGTCAGTTTGATTTTAATGAAACAGACTCCAGCTTTTGCTCAGTGCAGCACATGATATAAGGTTGTTTCAGGCTAAAAGCTAAAAGGAACCCCCCCCTCCTCCTCCTCCTCTTCCTCCGCCATGGTGTACAGTACATACCTCATGATCCTGGCAGACTGTGAAGCAGACGACAAACCCTTTTTGAAGTATTTGTCGTACTGAATGGTGTGATTTCATGGCCCCATGTTTCCATCTCGGGGCATCTGGTAGCACTCTCGGAAAACCAGCAGTTATTTACAGGCCACCCTCTGCTCGCCAGACAAGTGATTCATGGTCAACAGGGAGAATCCTCGTTAAGTAATTAAGGCTGTAATTAAGGCTTTGACTTGGGACTGCTGTGTTGCAGCAGGGCTTCCGCAGGTTTGCATCATGTGCCTGTGAGGAGCGACCCCCCCCCCCAGTATTATCCTTTAATGGAAGATAAATTGAGACCCTGGAAGACACCCCACCTAGCTGAACCGGCTGGCGTTTCATCACAGTGGATGAATCTGTGATTGCTTCAAGAGCTCGAGAGGCGGGAAGGATGTGGAACGAGTCCAAAGTGTAAATCCTCCTCTTATCGTCTCTCTCTCTCTCTCTCTCTCTCTCTCTCTTACAGGGACATTAAGAACATCGGGGTGAGGCTCCCCGGCCATCTGAAAAGAATCGCCTACAGCATCTTGGGTCTGAAGGACCAGACCAGCACCCTGAGTGTGTTTGCAGTGTGATCCTGACGCCGACGGAGGGAATTAAAATGGGGCACTGACGCCAGGCGGCCCTCTGAACTCTGAGCTGAGCCGGAGCGACACTGCAGGGACGCCGCTCGATCGGCGGAACCGAGAGAAAACGTCTCGCCATCCTTTGGGGCCAACTGACTTAACTCAGACTGACTTACTGTACATTTTTTTTTTTTGTTTTTTGTTTTTATTTCTTCATCTTATCCACACGGGAATGGAACAAAATATACAACAATAGATGTATCAGTTAGACTCTGTATATTTAGAAATCTATTTTTATTACTCATGTCTTCTGTACAGATACAATCCATTGCTCATGCATTTATTTTAATTTTTTTTTTTCTTCATTTCACATTCCGGCTTCATAAACATCAACAATCGAGCCAGTTCGTTCTGGGAACAGCTTCAACTGCAGAAACTGCACCCTGAGCTCGTCGCGCCCCCCCCCCCCCCCCCCCCCCACTGCACTGTGCAGTGTGACAGTATGGGAGCAAGAGGAATTCAGCCTCGGCTCAGTCTGTGGTTGGTGCTGATGTCACGGCGTCTCCCCCCCCCCGACCCCCCTTTTAATTGGCACTTTGGTCCACTTCCTGTTAGACCAGTGAGGATGGAGCGCCGAGAGAGAGAGGAAAAGGAAAAAAAAAAGAAAAGAGGGTGAGCTGGCCCAGAGTTAAAGAGACGGTGACGCTCAGGTGTGTAAACACAGACTGACCTTCTGCTGGCTCCGTGCTGAGATTAAGCTATAATCATATACGTGGTGTTAGGACATATATGAGGTACTCTTTGTGTACAGATTTTTTACCAAAAATATTGAGAATTTTATATAATGTAGCACTTGGATCAAGAATCACATGATCTCTTGGTTTGTCTCAACAAAAACAAATGGTATCACAGTCAGAAATCAATTAAAAAGTCAATTAAATCATTTTCAATTACAGTGCAGTTTATCTATTTGTAGCGTGCCGGTAATGAAGAGGGAGATGGTGAAGTTTGCCATTAATTAATTCCCCCCCCCCCAACTCCTAAGAAGAAAAAAAGAAAAAAGAATTTCATGATGATGATTTTTGTTGTGGTTGAAATGATTTCACACTTAATAATATTTTTTTTGGTTTTTCAATTTCAACGTTTCTTGTTTTGTTTTTGTAGAAGCGACAAAGATCCACCGTTGTTGGTTTGAGTGACACGTTGACGGGATTAAACTAAACTAAAAAATATATATATAAGCTTTTGACAATTCAGCGCTCGACGTGTAAAGACATTTTGAAGTGCCTGTCTGTGGGAGACCCCCCCCCCCCCCCCCCAGTGCTCCTCTCTTAATTGATGACTGCAAAATCATTGTGTTACTGACGTGCACCTTCCTCTACTTGAATTTTTACTGTGTTTTTCAAATGTATCTCTGATTCTCTTGTAGCTGATGATAGACCCATCTTTGGAAAAGGGATTTTGTTACTTTTGTATGATTTCGCTATTTGCCATATTAACAAACTGATCAGTTCCCATCACTGTCCTCCAAAAGCCACGTCTCCTCCTTCTGCTGCCTTTCCAAACATTTTGAGAGTTCCTTCATCAAAGAGCAAACTCCTTCCCTTTTGCCTGTTGTTTTATACTGTATTTAATAGTCTATTTATTTTTTACTTTTATTTATTTATCCTGATAAACACTGAGCTGGGATTATAACTGAAGGTTGCGCTCTCATTCTTGATAATAATAATAATAATGAAAAAAAAAAAAAAGCTCTAATGTCCCTCTTTTTATTCCTGAATTATTCACACCTGAGATTGTCTTCATTTGCATTTTTGGAGCAATAAAGTCTTAAATTAAATTTTGGCAGAGCCTGTTTGTCTGATTGACACTAAACACAGCAGAGGGATGTTTCTGTTTGTTTTACATGTTGCCAGGATGTTTATACTTCCACCTGGAAATCCTCATAATGCAGCTGGATGCTTTAATTCCACAGTTGGAACCTGTAATAAACACACGCACACACAAGCACGCACACACACGCACACACACACACACACACGCTGTAGTATCTAGTTATTAGATACTTATTAGATTTATATTCTCTAATCAGATCAGATATTAAACTATGTCGTAAAGTAAACATGAAAACGTCAGATTTAGCTCTGATGTTTTTATATTTGTTAAACAGAGATCACACACTGATCGGCTGTTTGATTACTCTTGTCTTGGGAAACGACCTCCAGCGTCAGATCAGATGTTCTTCTCCCATGAACCCGTTGAAAGTGAAGGTCAGAATTTCTCTCTCACTGCTTGTTAAAGTTCTGGTGGAATGGTCCTTTACACTGGACGTCTGAGTCAGAAACTAACGAACAAAAAACGTGAGACATCACCTCGTTATGGCGTCATATGTCTGGCTTTATGTTTCCCAGCAGCTCGGCTCTTAGACACACGGGTTTATTCAGTACAAAAGGTTGATGGGAGGAATCTGTAAAGTCAGTCGTGTAGGGAGTGGGTGAGTGAAAATGTGCTGCACGGGTGTTTGTGCTGTGGTCATATCCCTCCGCCACTCAGACTAGTTTCAACTAGTAGTTGAGTAATGGCTAAAAGGTATTTTGTGAGGTCACACTGATGTTGACCTTTGACCTTTGACCACCAAAATCTAATCAATTCATCCTCGAGTCCAGGTGAATGTTTGTGCCAAATTTGAAGAGTCTCTTGAGGAGTTTTTGAGATATGGCGTTCACAAGGCCAAAAACTGTGTTTTGTGAGGTCACCATGACCTTGACCTTTGACCTGTAGCCACCAAAGTCTAATCAGTTCACCCTTGAGTCCTAGCAAATGTTTGTGCCAAATTTGAAGACGTTCCTTCAAGGCGTCATTGAGATATCGTGTCCAAATGGAATTCAATCTTCATGCATTTTATAATTGAGACCTATGCTTTTCATACCTGACGTGTTTCTGGTTGTTTCCTGTCAGTGACAACGACACTGACCTCACTGAGCAGAAGGAAGTCGGTCAGACGGGTTATACACAAATACACAAAGCCAAACAATTTTTTTTTTAAGCCCGAATTGTACGTTGTAAACGTTGATCACAATGTACAGATAACTCTGTGGGTAATCGTTGACATACCTGACCTACCTTCTGTAATGAGGGATTACTACCGACTCCTAAACAAAGGGCCTCAGATAATCTCTGTTGGCTTCTTCACAACCTGTGTGATCGTCTGACTCCTTGTGTTTCTTGTCCTTTGTGTGTTCCCAGATTTAAGCATTTACTTCGATGAGTACAATATCATCATGACCGATAGAAACAGGCGACAAAACTCTGCAAACAAAACACAAGTTGTGATACACTGGAATTACCTTTTTAATCAAATGGTTTTCCACCAGAGTTCGGTTTGTGTCAGCAGTCAGTCCGACCCAGATCCACAAACTTAAAGCTTCTTATTCTGCTTTATTATATTTTATCTATTTCATTGTGTTTCATTTAATTTTGTTTTATTTTATTTCATTATTTTTTTTTATTCTATTTTACTTTATTTTATTCTATTTTATTTCATTTCATTTTATTTTTTATGATATTTTATTCTATTTTATTTCATTTCATTTGATTTTTTAATGTTATTTTATTTTATTTTATTTATTTCATTGCGTTTCATCTCATTTGATTTTGTTTTATTTTATTTCATTATATTTCATTTTTATTTTATTCTGTTATATAGCACTCACCTTCCAGCCCACCTGTATGAACAGACTACCTGCTTTATATATGGGTGTCTTCACCTGATAGGCTGGCATGTACCATTACAGGGTAATTCAACACATACATATTTATCTTTACCAAATACCAAAATTCATATTTACATAAAAATCACTACAAAGAAATACACACATACACAAATATTTACACACCCACATACTTATAAATATACATACACATACACTTACACGATACAAATACACACCTGCCCATTTTCTCAATTGATAACGCCCGCCCGGAACTATTAATAGGTGCTTTAGCCCTCGGGGAACTCTTTAGCCCGAACACCCCGGAGAGGAAGAGTAGTCAGAGGTAAGTCGTGCTTCACGAACAATTTCAATTTCAGTTACTTTTAGCAAACACGCTCCTTTCTTAGTTTCACGTAAGAAATACTTTGACACGACGGAGTCCTAACTCAACGCTCGTGCGTCAGGTGAACGGCCCCGCCCCCTCCCTGTAAAACACCTGACCCATGCATCTACCAAACAATAAATAAATAAATTGTTAGAATCTCACCTGAGTGTTTATTTACTCTGCGCTACTCAGTAACCATCTAGGAAACAATAAGACACATGGAGGTCGGACATTTTATTTTGGCTTCATTCTCCCGCCAAGTTTGGTATGCGGGTAAGACGTCTGCGTGTACCAGTTGCCAGGTAACAAGTTAAATTTGTCTCTGTTGTACCTGTTTTTATACGTTTACGGACACAGGATTGAACGTAACCAGGAAGAAAACAGAAAAGCAGTAGAAGGAAACTAATGAGGTTTTATTTGAAACTATTATAGTGGTAACCCTAGAGCCAACCCAAGGATGGCTAACATGTCCTCTAAACCAAACAACCATTTTGAATGTTTCCAAAACGATCTGCCAGGAGATAAACTGTTAAAAAAAATCACTGGTAATAAATAACCAGCTCCGACCTCTGCGCACTGTGGTGCAAGTTTGGTTTGGTTTGGTTTGGTTCAGGCACCAAAACAACTTTGTTTAAGGTTCAGCTAAAGATCACAGTTTGGGTTAAAATAATTACCTTGTTAAGTTAAAGAACATCCGTCGTCATGGTTACATTAATAAACGTAGCTACGAAACAAAGTCAGTTCGACACGGAAAACAAACGGCGGCCTTTCGTCGTAATCACTCCGACCACTGGAGGTTCTTTTGTCACTTGAATTTTAACATGAATTAAAAGTTAAAACTGAAACAAAACTTGTGTTTCTTTGCGTAATTATATTATTATTGTTATTTTTATTGACCTGCTTTTTGAGGGAAAAAAGAATATTATTGGATTGATCTTGTTCTGGGTTGATCATATATTAAGCTAGCAGCTCTCGTGTTGTTTTGTGTTATGTTTTTGACATAAAGAAGCAATCATGACCACGCCCACTTAGAAAACAGGAAGTGAACATCGTGTCTTACAGTTGCCGCTGCTTGTAATCCGTCATCTTTTGTTATAGAGGATCTTTGATTGTAATTTACGCGTCCCAGCCGGGTTCGACACTTTTTAGTGTCCCATGGAAACACTTAATGGCAGCTCTAAGTTTTGAGGAAAACATATGTTGATGACACAAACCTTCACAGCTGCTTCACTCTGCCAAAAAAAAAGAAAAAAAAGAAAAAAGGATGTGAAAATGGCGAGGAGTTTTTCTGGTTCTGGCTCAGGTTACCTCTGGGTTGGGTTTTTACAGGAGGAAGGTCTCGGTGTAGCAGCGGGAGCGGG